CTATTTATATAATTTCCATGTCATTAATTTAAATGCATTTATATGGAGGCATAAGGTAGCTTAGCAACTAATTGCCTATAATATAGGAATTTAATTTCCTCAATCCCCTTCTGCGCATTAAATGACAATTTTTTAATAAAATAAAATAAAAAATTAATTAACTAATTCCTCATTTCCTTATTATCAGTATTTAAAAAAAATACTCTTTCTATTAAAATTGTATCAATAAAAAGTCTTCAATACATATTTTTTTCATGTATGGATATATAAAAAATATACTTAAAACTTATGGTACATTTGAGAACAAAAGTATCGACTTTTGGTACATATTTAGATTTCAAATGTACCGAGAAAACAAATGTACCAAAAATTCAAATGTACCATAAAATCAAATGTACACATTGTTATGTAACCCTTTTGGTACGTTTAGATTTCAAATATACAGAGAAACCAAATGTACCAAAATTTCAAATGTACCATAAAACCAAATGTGCCCATTGTCAGGTAATCCTGTTGGTACGTTTAGATTCCTATTGTACCAAAAGACCAAATGAACAAAAAATCTCAAATGTACCACAAAACCAAATGTCTGTATCAGATAACCCTTTTGGTACATTTACATTCCAAATGTACCAAGAAATACAAAAAATCAAATCCACTGTAAAACTAAATGTGTCCATATTATAGGTAACTAGACGTAGCTATATAATCAAACAAATCTTTACTATGTGTTGGGTCTTCTAAATAATAAAATTTGACAATTTTGTTTTTATAAATATTCTACTATATTCACACAAAAAAGTAAATATTATAACAAACAATAAAAAAATGCATAGAGATGGATAATAAATGCATAAATATAGGGATAATAGGGATAATAGGAACTGAAATTAATAACCATAATTTTAGGAAAATGTTTGATCAAATTTTCAAAAGGAGTGTATGTTTAGTCTAAAAAATTAAAAAACGAGGCGCCTGTATCAAAATGCCCCTTAATTTAAATAATAACAATCTGGACTATCAGCATCAGTTTCAACAAGAATATTGATGCAATTTCACATCCATTTTCTCTCATTTCCCAAGAAACAAACACAATTATCATAAAAAAAGAGTTCATATTATTTTTTAAGGAGTTTTAATGAAAAGTCCACGGTACCATTCACTTTAACGAAAAACCATATTTTTTCACTAGAAAGTCAAACCTGGTACTATTTACTTTACCCTTTATTTTGTCCTTATCGTTAAAACTCCAAATTTTCAAGTTTTTTTCATTAATTTTTCTTATTTTTTATGGACAAAGTCCCCAAAAAAAATATTTTAAATTCAGACGAACATGTTGCTAGAGCTTCCTAACAACAATTGGTGATATTGAAGTGTTTTCCTTTTGTTGATCCTAAAAACTATTTAGCCTACGTGCTGCACAGGCTGAATAGCTAATAAGTTAACTACATCATTTGGTTGAATGCGGGATATGCCAACTCGTTGGCCAAGCTCAGTTGGAAAGTGAATGAATGTTGATGGGGCGTTGGATGACTTCTAAATCTTAAGACTATGCCTGAGAAAGAACATGTCTCGGCCTTCGAGTTTTAGAGCCTAAAGACAAGACTGCTAGTTCTGCGAAGTTCAATATCAAATTCTGCTTTCAGTGTGCCGAATGTCGTAGTTTGACACCTCACTCTCTCTCCCAGATTTCCACATTGGCAATTGGAAACTGTATGACAGTTCTCCATATCCTATCGAATTCAAACCCCATTTTAATTTCTTAATTTCTCAATCACTCCCTCTCTCTATGCTTTTGGGTTTTGTGGTGTTTGGATTAATGAGTTTGTGTTTGTTCTTAGATTAATGCAGAAGAACGGAGGCAGCAACAACAATAGAGGCGACAGCGCTGCCAGCAACGACGAGGGTGAGAAGATGAAGGGAAACGAAGGTGAGATGAAGAAGGAGGAAAGCCCATCACCATCATCCTCAAGGTTGTCAAATGCGCCAAAGCTTTTGGAGGTCCAATAATAAATTCTTCAAAACCTTTACTTAATTATTGCATAATAAATTTTCAAGGTTGATCTACCAGCCAGGTCACTGTCTCTTCTTGTAGAGAGAGAAATTGGTAGTGAGAGAGAGAGAGAGAGAGAGAGAGAGAGAGAGCAATTTAAGCGGTGGAGGACTTGGGGTGGTAAGTAGAAGAAGAAGCAGAGAAAAATGGGGACGCTTCAGACGTGGAATGGTTACGGTGCTCTCACAGACTCTAAAAGTCGGCCTTGCCCACGTCATCAACAACGATTTACGTTTCCCTTTTGTTTAATCTCCGTTGATTTAACTAATTAGAAGAAAACAATAAAGATTAGATTTTGGTAATCCGCATGAATTGGATTTTGATTTTTGGATTTGGATATAGGATTTGGATGTTGTGAGTCAAAGCCACCAACCATGTCGAGTACCCGCCCAAAGAGAGACATCTCAGAAGTCAGTTTCTAAATTTTAAAATTTTTTAGATTCGTTGTTTTATCCAATGGGTTGTTCAACTTTGATCCAAAGATGTGAGTTTTACATTTGGGGTGTTGTTTTTTTTTTTTTTTTTTTTTTTGATGCAGAGATGTTGCTTATTGCATTCATGCTTCTGTCAATAAGATTAAGCAAGATGTTAACTACGTTGAGGAAAATTAAAGAACAATGAAGAATTGAGAAAGATGAACAACCAGAGAGAAGTTTAGAGAGAAATAATGCTCTATATTTCTGTAAATGTGACTGGCCAAATTACATTTGTGAGTTGCCATTCCTAACATATTTATTGAATACAGTAGAACCTTACTTGTAACTAATTAATCAACTAACAAATCCTTAACAGCCAAACAAATATTCTAACAACTTTGACTGACGTGTGATTATATGACAACCAATGATTATAAGACATCTATCTTCACAAGACCCCTAATTGGATGGTATGCCGTGCTTGCCCATTCCATTGCAAATTTGCAATGCCATCCCTTTTAATTTCGAGATTGTATTGGACTTATTATGTATCTATTTCCTTTGAATTTCAAGTGGGGTTTGCTTAATATCGGACCATCATAGACTATGGTGTACGCTTACCATACACCTAATCATCCGCCATGTATCTTTTTTCTTAAATACTGTTAATTTTTTTTCAAAATTAAAAAAACTACATTTAATAAGAAAGTTAACTATAGTTAGATGAAATGACACATGGGTGAGCAAAAATGCTCCCTTAATATCGTTGTTTACCATGCCCTAGCTACTATATTATTTGAGTTTGCTTGGAAATATACTTGGTCAAGTACAAATGTAAAAACAATAAACACTGTACATTGGGCATCTTGTAATAAATCATTAATGGTGCAAAAGTTCAGACTATTTGCTAACTAAAAACATTAAAATAAATGTCTTTTGACAAGTATAAATGTAAAAATTAACATTAAACATTGTACACACGTGGGTAGTGAGCTATAATTATAACAATGTCTATATAATTAAAAAAATTTCATACATCGCGAGTAGCACACCATGGTGTTAATAAGAATAAATAAAAAAACCTTTCACACCCGCATGAGCGGATGCAGAAAGGTTTGCATATGTAACACAAGCCATGAACCCACTAAATTTTAAGTGAAGAGAGGCTTTTCACAAATGTAGAAAAAATAGCCGATAACAATTACAAACTACTAACCAAAACATCATAATAACATATTCATTGACAATAGTGTGTTTGAAAGTGTTTTGAAAATGACTAAAGACGCTTTCAATGAAAGTGTTTTTAGAACCAATCTTTAGTTAAAATGTAAGTGAATCCTCAAAAAGAACTTGAAGTGCTTATTACAAGAAGTGCATAATTGGTGATTCTTCTAAAAATTCACTTCTAGTGCTTTTGGAATCTAAAACACTTTTCACCAAGATAGTTTTAGTCATTTTAAAAATACTTCTAAACATGCACAACATTAATCGTTACATGATAACCTAGTCATCTATACTATTAAATTTAATCAAGATAATAAAAATAAAAAAAACATGAACACCTAAATAAGAGGCATGATAGAGATGAATAATAAAAGGTTATCTAGAATAAGATAGATTTACAAATCTCATTCTTGTTGAATTAATTTGAATTTAGTATACGACAATATATATATATATATATATATATATATATATATATATATATATATATATATATATATCAGAATGAAACGAAGAGTAGCTTTTGTAGATTTTGAGTCTTGCTTCTGGGTTGCAGGTGCACCGTAAAAGGAAAAGATCAAGGTAGAATTTTTTTTTCCAAGTTTTTAGCTAAAATAGTCCTTGAGATTTGCATAACACATCACTTTGGTCCCTGAGATTGAAAATCAATAAAAATGGTCTCTGAGATTGTCCACCATTCATTATTTTGGTCATTCCGTTAAAAACTCCATTAAGTGTTCCGGAACTTTTGATTGAAAGTTTGGGCAATTTTCAAAACTTTGTAACTCAATCGTTTCTTAACCAAATTCGACCCATAATATATCAAAATGAAGATAGTAAAGCGTAGAACAAAATTATACCATTTGGAAGCCCAATGGTTTCCTAAGACGGCCGAAAAATAGCCTGAAAGGTGACTGGTCCGCGGAAAAACTGGAAAACTCGCCGGAAACTGAGTAAACTTTAAACGTTCATAACTTCTTCAATACTCAACGAAATCGAGTGATTCAAAAACAAAAATCATACTTTTCAATGAGACAAAGAGAATGCTACCTTTATTGATGGCTAAATATTCATTTTTTGACCAGAAAACGGCTCGAAAGTGGCTGTATTGGTCTCAAGTTAGCCACTTTTGAGCCATTTTCCAGTCATGGTGAATTAGACGTCGAGAAATGTACAATTCTTAAGAATTTAGTATGCCTTCTTGATTGGGTAATAACGTAATTTTATAACCAGTTTATGTCATTTAATCTTTCAGCTTTTTGTGGCATTATTTACCGTCAGATTGGCAGTAATAACTTCACTGGAAGAATACCTGACTACTTTCGAAGTTGGAAAAACCTCCGGGCCTTGTAAGAGATCTCTTTTATTGCACTTTTTAAATTCTCAACTGAAATATTTTCATGTGTAATCCTAAATCCATCAAATATGTTGTTTACAGAGAGATGCAAGCGAGTGGTCTAGAAGGCCCCCTTCCATCTAGTCTCTCTGCCTTGAATAATATGACAGATCTGTGAGTCCTGCCTTCTAACCTATCAGTTATCTTAATTTGCATGATCTCCTTGCGTCTTTCTAATTTAGAGAGAAAAATTGATTTATGAAGATACTGTAAACCATCATAGGTTCTTGAAGAAGAGGATTATACAGATACAAGAAAGAATGAAGAAAGAAAGACAGAGAGAGAGAAGTAGAAGAATTAGAGTTTAGAGAGAGAAATCAGTTATTCAATTGTAATATTCTTTTCTTATTAGTTACAATGATTTGTTACAAGCTATTTATAATATCCCTTTGGTAGCTTACACTCTAAGTCACAACATAACCAACTCAACTAACTTCATACTCATTTGACACTTGTCCATTTCATAACCATTGGATCTTAGTACTCCTAACATCCCCCCTCAAGCTCAGGGGCAGAGAATTTGAGCCTGAGATTGGCACAATGAGTCTGAAAGAGAGGAGCAGACAAGCCTTTTGTCAGTATGTCAGCAAACTGCTCGGTTGAAGACACAAAATGAACCTGCAATTGCTGTGTTTGCGACCCGCTCACGAACAAAAATGCACATCAACCTCTATGTGTTTCGTTCGCTGATGTTGAACTGGATTTAAAGTCAGTGCTATAGCAGATAAATTGTCACAAAAGAGGACCGGCTTTTCTATAATTGGAATATGCAGAAAAGCCAACAATTGGTTGATCCAATCAAGTTCAGCAGCTGTAGTGGATAGAGCCCGATATTCAGCTTCTGTGGAGGAACGAGAGACAGTATTTTGCTTCTTGGATGACCACGAAATAGGATTAGAGCCCAAAAAATACAACCATTCCAGTGGTGGACCGGCGATCATTAGGATCGCCAGCCCAGTCTGCATCACTATATGCAGTAATATCCAGGGAACCCTTGACATAATGAATACCACAACCTTGAGTAGCTCTTAAGTACCGAAGGATCCGTTTAACTGCCATGAAATGAGAGTCCATAGGATGCTGCATAAACTGACAAACCTGATGTACTGCAAAAGCGATGTCAGGTCGAGTAAATGTCAAGTAGTGTAAAGCTCCAACTAAACTTCTATAAAGAGCCGGATTATTAAAAGGTTTCCCATCATCTTTGAGCAATCGGTTATATGGCAAACAGGGAGTGGCACATGGTTTAGACAGCAGCATTTCAGACTTAGTTAACAAATCTGTAACATACTTATCTTGAGAAAGAAACAGGCCATCCTTCCTTTGCAAGATTTGAATCCCTAGAAAATAATGTAAAGGACCCAAATCTTTAATATCAAATTCCTTAGCAAGTGACTGAATAACCTCAGTAATTGCTGTAGTTGCACTGCCAGTAATAATAATGTCATCCACATACAGAAGTAAAATGACCACAGAACTGTCAACCAGTTTCACAAACAAAGAAGGATCAGTATAAGTAGATGTGAACCCCAAAGATGGTAGAAAGGAGGTAAATCTCTCATTCCAGGCTCTAGGTGCCTGTTTCAATCCGTATAAAAGACTTATGTAATCTGCAAACATAGTCCTCATGATGAATATCAACAAAAACCAGGTGGTTGGGCCAAGTACACCTCTTCATGCAAAATACCATGAAGGAACGCATTTTTTTCACATCCAACTGTCGCAATGGCCAACCAAAGTGTGCTGCTGATAAAGCTAAGACTAACCGCACTGTTGTTGGTTTAACAACCGGACTAAAGGTTTCCCCATAGTCAATCCCTTCTTCTTGATTAAAGCCTTGAGCGACCAGTCGTGCCTTATACCTCCCAATGGACCCATTAGCATTCTTTTTTTATCTTAAACACCCATTTGGAACCAACTAAATTCTTATGTTTTGGTAGAGGAACCAAAGACCATGTACCCTGAGAGAGTGTAATGCAGCAATCTCCTCTTTCATAGCCTCATACCATACTGGAGTCTTTAAAGCAGATTTATAAGTGGCAGGTTCCACTTGAGTCAAGTCAACACCTCCATTGTCATGAACAGCCGCAAGAAGAGCAATCTTCTTAATAATACCACTTTTAGATCTTGTCTGCATGGGGTGGAGGTTAACAGGAGGTATGGAGAGAACCACTTGCAATTGGTCAGGTTGGAATTCAGGTACCACAGGGAGTATGGAAGACAAGGGCTGTGTTGGTGATGTAGCAATGGATTGACTGCAACCTGGAGATTCTGTATCTGAGATTGAAACTGTCCCTGGATGGGGTAGTAGACCCTTCTGAGATTGGAATAGGTACAGTATTTGGCATGACATTATTTTGATGAGGAATTCATATGATAGTTATGGTGTGGGAAACACAAGAACATTATTGTGATCTGGAACTGGACTTGGGGTTTGAAGGACTGATGGCAGTGTTGAAGAAGTAGAGTGATGTGTAGTGTGAAGAAACCGATAAGGAAACTCTGTCTCATCAAAAATGACATGTCTAGATATATAGATTTTGTTTTTAGTCACATCATAGCAGATATACCCTTTATACTTAGATGCATACCCCAAAAATACACATTTGGTTGTTCTAGGGTCTAGTTTAGTGTTGGTGTAAGGTTTTAACCAAGGATAACAAGAACAGCCAAAAACTTTCAGATGTTGGATCTCAGGTTTTAAATTATACAGCAATTGGAATGGAGACTGGTTGTGTAAAGAAGGAGATGGCATCCTGTTGATTAAGTACACTGAAGTTTGACAAGCAACTGACCAAAACAGGATGGTAGAGATGCAGTTTGTAACAAAGTGATAGATGTTTCAATGATGTGTCTGTGTTTCCTTTCGGCAATGCCATTTTGTTCGGGTGTATGAGGACAAGACACTTGATGATGGATGCCTTTATCAGATAAGAATGTTTGAAATGCCTTACTAACATACTCACCACCACCATCACTTTGAAGAGTTTTAATGGAGACTTGAAACTGATTGAGAATAAAATTGTAAAAGGCCCTAAAGATTCCAAAAACATCACTTTTATTGCAGATAGGAAAAATCCAGGAATATTTTGTACAATGATCAATGAGAGTGACATAGTATTTGAAAACCGTCAAAAAAGAAATACACGGAGCAGGCCCCCACACATCACTATGAACAATATCAAAAGGTTTGACAGACTTGACTAGGGAAGAAGAAAATGGCAATTTGCTAAATTTGCCCTCTAAACAGGTCTGACACAAAGATGGGTTTGTATCAGTAACACAGAAAACATTTGACGATGTAAGAACCTGAGAAACTATTGAATTTGAAGGGTGACCTAATCTCTTATGCCAAATACTGTGAGGAACTTGCTTTCCCAGAAAGGCTGCAGGATGTCCTGTGAAGCTTGCTGCAGGAGATGTTGAAGAGATGATGGGGTACAATCCATTGTTACACAGCCCTTTGTAAAGTATCCTCCCTGTGGCTTTGTCCTGAATCCAAAAAGAAAACGCATCAAAAATCAACCAACAATTATTATCCAGACAAATCCTATGCACAGACAACAGATTTTGAGACAATTTTGGTACATAAAGAACTGAAGTAAGTTTAATAGGCTGCTTTGAAGTTCTGAGAAGTGTAGAACCAATATGAGATATTGCTAAACCTTCACCATTCGCTGTCTGAATTGTCTCATGTGATGGATATGGAGTTGCCAAGGAGAGATTACTCAAATCTGAGGTCATGTGATTATTGGCACCAGAATCAGTAAGCCATACTTGTTGCTGGGATGGTGCAGATGGCACTGGCACTGTGAATGGAGAATATGGACCACTAGGTGTTGCAGCATGTAGAGCATTGAGTTGAGGATTAGAATTCTTTTGAAAACATGTGTCTGCACTGTGATATTGATTTCCACATATAGTACAACCAGAAGGAGCACCAGAGTTGCGAAATCTGCAAGTATCCGCAAAATGGTTGTTCTTTCCACAAATTTGACAACCCTGTACAGAGTTTGTATTACGAAAACGACAAGTTGATGCCAAATGATTGTGTTTCCCACAGATTTGACAAGGTTGAGACAGAAATCCATAATTGTTTGATCTTGGTGGTGAAGTACCGAGGATTCCAGGAGCAGGACTCGAATGAAAATTCTTGTAATTGCCATACTTGGGATTGAAGTTAGGAGTGAACCGATTCCTGCCTTTGGTATTATTGAAAGACTTGTATGCAGTCGAATTCGGACTAGCATGGTTATTGTTACCATAATTCCCAGAAAAAGACTGATTCTTGGAAGGTAAACCATTACTTTAAGCCATTAATGCAGACAACACAGGTGAATGAGAACAATTTTCAAGCAAAGTTTCTTCAGCAAGTAATTGAGATCGAAGATCTTTCAGTGATATCACACTCTCCCGACCCCTGATCACAGACCTTATGGTATTGAATTCAGCAGGCAAACCATTTAGTGTAAGAATCACAATGTCATCATCATCAAAGAATACACCAGCAGCAGACAACAAATCTCTTTGCTTCCTTAATTTTCTGCAAATATAATGTGACAGAATCAGTACCCTTCTTTATTGTCTGAAGTTCGGATTTGAGTTGGAAAATACTCGTTCTTGTGACTGTAGAAAATTGATCTTTAAGACGAGTCCACAATTCTTTGGAGCTAGTACTTCCAATGACACAAGAAACTGCAGCAGGAGATAGAGTCGCAGTGATCAATTGCATTAATGCCTTATCATGCATCTTCCATATAGTGTAGTCATCAGAAGGAATTCGTGTAGACGAATCACCAGACAAAACTGCAGAAGTAGCAGAGGAATCTTGACTGAATTGAGCAGGACACGGCATTGAACCATCAACAAAAACCAATGATGCTATGGCCTTCAAGAAGGAGCTGCATCTGAAAATGCCAAGCCAAATAGTTCGTCTCGTCCAATTTCACATTAACCGAACTGGAAACAGACGAAATCAACGAAGTAATCGGAGACTGTAAGATCTATAACTGAGCTGCTGTTACCATTGTTGCAAATTGTAGAGAAATTCCAAAGAATCTTGACTGACACCAAATCACAAACAGTTGGTATGCACCCTTTAACGAGTGAAGAAC